TAGGAGCAATGCAGGGGGCATCCTGAGTGCTCCCTCCCCAGCCCAACAGTGCCATGCCTCTGCGGGGGCCTGCTGGGCACTCAAAAGGCACTTCCCCAGAAACCCTGTAACCCTCAGGGGTCCTCTCACCACCTGGAATGGAACAAGCCCCTCACCGCCTTGTGCGAGGTTCCTGTGAGGGTGGGGGCTGATGTCCTGTTTTGGGCATGTTGAGGGTGAGGACTCACCCTGAGGCAGATGGTAGGGTGCTGCAACACCCCCCAGAAACGAGGTTGCACCCAGAAAAGTGGGACCTGGCAGGCAGCAGGGAAGACTGGCTACCTTCTGAGGATTTGGACATGGTGGGTGGCAGATGTCTGCAGCAGGGGCTGGGCTGGAATTTAGGATGGCCTTTGCCGACTTAGCGGGGCCCCTGATCCAGACGGCAAGTCATAGCTAATGAGTCAGATTGGCTGGGCTATTTGTCTTCGTCATCCCGAGCCTTTTGTGAAGTTTCGTCTGAGCACTCCAGCCGCAGCTCGGCTGCTCTGGGAGCCCCCAGAGGCCCCATTTCCAGGATTGAGGGGGAGAGGGAGAGGGAGTTCGGCAAGGCTCAGAATCCCTGGACCTCTTTACAGTCTGGGGAAGGGGTGTTCTGCCACCAGCTGGTCCTGTACCTCACCCCTCTCTCCCTGGCTTGTCTCCAGCCTACACTTTCATTGGCCACGGGCAAGTCCACAAGGCCTAGCTGACCCCAGTAGCAAGAGCTTCGGGTCACCATGGCCTCTAACCTAGTCTCAGTTTAGATGCTTTGGCATAGTGCTGGCCATGTAGCATACCCTCAGTAAATAGTTCTTGAATGAATGGGAGAATGGCAAGTGCTGGCATTTATGCAACAAACATGACTCTCCCCTCTTGGAGCTCCTGATCACAGTGGGACCCCCTCCAGCTGCGGGCTCAAGACACTAGCCTGAAATAACCCCTATCCATCCTGCTCCCCTCCTCCGATGACTGGGGGACCTTGTCTTTCCAGGCAACCTCTGCCTTTTGGAAGTCTTACAAATGAGCTACAGGGGCAGGGGCAGCGCCCTCTGGGCGGGGACCTGGGTTTCAGAATGCAGCTGGATTTAGGTAGAGCCACTGGGTGCTTATGGCTCTGCTGTCCCCTGCTGGACAAATCAGGAACAACACCCTACTTTGCAGGAGGAAAAAGAGGGGGTGGTTTCAAGCACCTCTCCTTGTCCTCTTACTTGGTCTTTGGCAGAGCATTCACACTCTCCCCTTTCTCCTTCCTGAAGACAGGGTCCTTATGTTTGGGGTTTCCAACCTCATGAAATAGGTTCTGCATCCCCCCAGGTACCCCAAAGCTTTCACCCAGAACATGCCACACATTTCTGAAGGTCCTTTTGCCAACAAGCATCGTCCTGGTGAAGCGGGAAAAGTTGGCATTCATGCTGCCTGTCACTGCCAGAACCAGTAAGTAGAGACAAGGATTGACTCTTCGTGGGCACTTTATTCAGATGTTGGCAATCTGAGAAGACAGTGGGTTATGTACCCTCAAAACCTCTTAACATCTTATCTTAACATCTCATTTCAAGCCAACCTTTGTATAAGGAGAAAAAAGTGTAGGTAAGGGGTTTGGGGAAAAGGTTAACTGGATAAGACTTGCAGTCTGGTGGCAATTTTCCTAGTGCTTCTTTATCTGTTGATCAGCAATTCTGTGTCTGTGTCACAGATGTTCCCTCCCCGGAACACAGTGGCTCGGACACCCTCTCCATCCCTTGCAGAACCCCTGGGGCACAAGGTTGAATTGCTTGTCAGCCTCCTGGAGTCGCCAGGTCATTCATTCCAGTTTCTGGAATGACAGCTCTCCACATGCGTTAATCACTGAAGCCTATCGACTATGACTGAAGCTCTCATTGTTAACTCTTGAGCAGTCTTGGCACTCGGGACACAGGGTCAGTTCCTGACAGTGAAACCGCCCATTCGTTGAGTTAGGAAGGAAAGGGGCTCTTGAGGAGGGGTCTCTTACGGACGACCGCGGGTAGGCAACTATGTTCTTCAGCTGACAAACCCAAGGAAAACAGAAAATGATAGAAACTTAATTGTAACAAAATCTGGTAAATCAAGCCAAAGATTAGTTATTTGCAAAAACTAACAAAATTTGAAAAGTTAATGAAAAGTTCACTTATATACGTAGGTATAGATAGATGTACTGAGAGAGTTATAATGAGAAACCTGTAAGCCATTTTGGGGCCAGTTCAGTGGTGTCCAGAGAGGGGTGACGCCTGCTGGAGGACAGAAGGAGGATGGGGTGGGGAAGGGCATGGACCAACGTGATTTCCACCTCTGGACTACACTCGGGGTTATGGGTGGCATGGGTGCTGCTGTGGTCGGAGCCCATGCACACTCACGGTAGCTGGACACCATGAAGGTGGCTATGGGTGTTTGCTGACTGACTCAGGGACTGACTCAGCTCTGGGGACAGCTGACTCCCTGACTGCGGGAGAGAGAAAACTCTGCTGACTGTTTCCCAGCCTGGGCCCTTCAGGCAGGGACCAGGACTGGGGCAGAGCCTGTGTCTGTTGAGCTGTAGAAGTAGCAGCTTGACAAACTGTGTGCCCGTTATAAATCCAGGAAATGAACAGTGTCCCTTGCCTGGAATCTCCCCGACTCCTCCTCAGGCATCATGGCTGAGTAAAGCTCTCCTACCCTGCCCTTCCCTAGTCAACTTCCTTCCCCCTCCCTCCGCTAGGGTAGGTGCCCACCCTGAGGCCACACACTCCTGGGACATTCTTTAATCAAAGCACTTACCCCACTGCATTTTTAAAATGTTATTTTGTTCTTAATTTTCATCCTGGAAACCCCATCTACCCATCCTACCCACCACCCAGTTTCAACAATTACCAACTCACAAACAACCTTGTTTCATCTCCATCACCTCCCACTATCCTCACTACCCTGGGCTATTTTGAAGCAAATCCCAGACTTCCTATCATTTTATCAGTAAATATGTCATTATGTTTCTCTAAAAGATGAGTCCTCGGAACATTTTTAGAAGTGAGTGCCTCAGCGCTGGTCCATCGTGTTTGTGGGGCTGACCCACCTGTATGCACATGCCCAGGTGAAGACAGTCAGTGTGCTGCAGTTGGTGAAGACAGGGAGTGCCTGAGTGTTGGAGGCCCCACCCCAGACGATGAAGAGCTGTCCTTAGCACCAGTGCTGACCAGTCCCGCTGTAACTCACCCAGCCCGGATTTTGCCTTTCTAAAATCCACCACAGTCCCTGCTCCCTCCCCACCACTATTTCTTTAGCCAGAACCTCCAAGATGGGGCCCCGGGCACAAGGATTTGGGGAACATGACTCAAGTGTATTTGATGCATTGTTCTCCCTACCCCCAAGTGGCCCCACTAGGATGGGGTCACACGGGTGCCGGACACCTTCATCCCACACCGCTCTGGGAGGAGGAGGCTCTGGAGTGACCACCAGGCCTTGTTCCAGCCTATAGGAGAGAAAGCTCCACGTCCAGGGAGGCCTTGACACCAGGTTGGCTTTGTGACTGTCACCAAAACAGCCAGCACCTTTCCCAGGGGAGAACCGGGGACCAGTCCCCTGCCCCACCCTCAGAAGCACTGTAACCCTCTGAGCTCCCAAGACCGTTACCGTGAGCCAAGCATAAGTGAGCCCAGTGCCAACCTGATCCTAGAACTAGACACCAGTGCCCATCTGTGGAAGAAGCTGCCACGAGGCCACCCTCTGGGGAGAGGGTGGCCCCTCCCCAGGCACCCCGCACCCCAACACCAATTGTTGGCATTGACGCCAGGCCAAAGGCTGCCAGATGACAACCTATGACATCCACCTGCTGCTGAGAGAACTTCCTCAGGTCTTTGCCTGGTCAGAATATCTGGTGGGAACCTGGGCCGGCCCAGTTTGTACGCTGAGGCCCTGCAGCTGACTCACACTGCACCCCTTTCTCTGCTGGGCAAGGCGTGTGATAAACCGCCCTCCGGGGGGCTGAGGGAAGGCAGCGGTCCCGTGTGTCCCACCATCTCCATGAAAGAGCTGTTCTCACTGCAGCCTTTGCTGATGAGACCAGGTGTGGGCGGAGACCTAACAACACAGGAAGGATGGGAGCAACCATTAGCACTAATGAGGCTGGCGGCCTGAAAGCTTTTTATTGTGAAGCTGCTCGCCCACCCAGGGAACAATCTGTTCTGCTTACTTGGCTTCCAGGAACCCCAAGCAGAAAGGGATCTGAGGACCAGAAAATGGGTGGGGGTCTTGGAGAAGCTTGGAGGGAGAAGGAGGAGGGGAGGCAGAGCTAGGGAGGGAAGCAGGAGGGTTTGTGCTGGCTAGGCAGGCTTCTCTTGTCCCTTTCTCCTCCCCAAAAAACCCAGAATCTAGATCTGTACCGCATCTTTACCCCACTCTGACCACTGGCCCATCACCCAATTCAATGTCCTGGACCCATGTTCCTGTAAACAAAGCGAACAACATGCCACATAATGTCTGAGTGAGCATCTCCGGGGCCACAAATTAAATTAAGCTCTCAGGGCCGCCTGCCTTGTTACTGCTAATGGCTCCAGCCTAGCCACCCCCCTACCCAGGTCCCTGACCTGTAGAAATTTGGGGGGCTCTGGCACCCTAACTTGTTTCCAAACTTTAACTGGCTCCTGGAGACCTCGACAGTGATTGGAGATGGTCACCTAGTAGAGCACCCAAAACTCAGATTCCAGAGAGACAGGCCCAAGTTTTACCCTCCCCTGCCTCTGGGGAGGGCCTCCCATGCCCTGGCTGCGGGGAATAGTCACATGGGAGCCCTTCATTAGACCCTGCTATATAAGCTGGGGGCACGGGGTGGCCAGGAACTCTCCGGGCAAGGACCCAGCAAGCACAAGTAAGTCCCCTGGTGGGGCAGAGACGCCTCCTCTCTGGGGGACCCCTCTTGGGGATTGGGCATTTAGAGGGTTCTCCAGGGACTAGGAGGGACTAAGTGGTGGGTCTTCCTGCTGAGCCAGGCCATGCTGACTGCAGTGCTGAGCTGTGCCCTGCTGCTGGTGCTACCTGCCATGCAGGGCGCCCAGATGAGCTTGGCACCCCCGGAGGGCATCAGAAGGCCTGAGCAGGCCCTGTTCCCAGAGCTGTCAGGTCAGTGTGGGCAGGGGTGGGTCTGGGTGGGGCCTGGAATCCTTTGGCCACAAACTACTCTGCCCATTAAGAGCCGTCCTTCTCCTTTCCCAATCCCTGGCTGGGAGCTGGGGGTTTTGTGCATGGGGGAGAGGAGGTGCGTGTGTTCTGCCCTCACGTTGCTGTCCCAGGCCTGGGCCTGCAGCCTGGGCTGAAGAGGACAACTGCAGAGCAGGCAGAAAAGGATCTGCTGCAGGGGGCCAAGGACTTGGCAGAGGTAACTGTTCAGGGAAATGGGTGAGGCCACAGGTCTGGGGAGGGGACGTCAGGCATCATCCCCATTCTCCATTTCGTGCCCTCCTCGCATGGAATGACACTGCAGACCCCCATGCTCCACTACCATCCCACTTGAATGGGGGCAGGTGAGGTCTCTGGACCTGCCTTCAGAGGCCCATACTCCCGCAACCCTGCAGGTGCTAGATCCGGAAGGACGCGAGCCACGCTCCCCCCGTCGCTGCCTGAGGCTGCATGAGTCCTGTCTGGGACAACAAGTACCATGCTGTGACCCATGTGCCACGTGCTACTGCCGGTTCTTCAACGCCTTCTGCTACTGCCGCAAGCTGGGTACTTCTGCGAACCCTTGCAGCCGCACCTAACTGGTCAACGTCAGAGTTGGATTTGGGAGGGGGGGCGTGAATAAAGTTTGGGACCAATTCCAAGGCTGTGGCATTATTTCGAACGTGGCCTTTGGAGGGGGTAGGTCACGGCAGGGTTGGGGATGCAGGCAAACCTAGAAACCACACACCCTACACCAGGACCTGTGTTACCCCATCAAGCTGACTTACATGCACGCTCTTAGGGCACCAGGTACCGTTGAGGGAAAAAGAGAAGAGCTGCTCTCCAGCCCTCAAAATCTTGTACCATAAATGAGGGGCAGGGGTGAGGGGCACACAGCACAGGGCAGGGCCGGCAACTGCTGGCTGGCGTACAGGCATTAGGCTCCAGAGCCTGCTTGCAGCCAACTCGATGTGTGACACCTAGCGAAGGTCGCCCTTGCCATGCTTCAGCTCCCCTTGGGAGAAGGCTGACTCAACAGCCTGGAACATTTCCAAGCATAAATAGCTCCCGTCTTTACTCTGCACGCCCCACAATACCAGATTCGACAGACCCGGGAAAGCTAGAGGGCCCAATCCAATTTTCACGGCTACGAGCGCCACCTCGCGGCGGGCTAGGGACACTCAGCAGATCCTCAGTGCGCAGGCGCCAGAGAGCCGTCCCAGCCCACACTTGCTCTACGCGTCCTTTCCATGACACCCGGAAGGCCAGCGCCGCTCTGAACAGCCCCGTTATCACGTGACACTCATGATGGTCACCTGACGCGCTTGACTGTCGGTTGCGGGCCCGGAGTCAGCTGATCTAGGAGTTGCGCTGTGAGCCTGCTGATCGGGGTTCTCCGGCTCCACAGCCCCCGCCGCAGCCATGTCGTCCTTCCCGGAGCTTTACTTCAACGTGGACAATGGCTATTTGGAGGGACTAGTGCGCGGCTTGAAGGCCGGGGTGCTCAGCCAGGCGGACTACCTCAACCTGGTGCAGTGCGAGACGCTCGAGGGTGAGCCGTGGGGCCGGGATGCCCGGCTGTGAAAGGGAAGGCGAATGTGGGGGCTCTCGAAGGGTCCGAGAGGCCTCACTGGGGTTTCGGGGGCTGATGGAGGCGCTGGAGGGGGATCTGCCTCCAGCTGCGGCCCGGCCCAGACCCAAACGCAAACAAGCCTTTAAAATCACTGTGGTTCGTCTCTGCTGGGACCCGCTCAGGTCTCTCGGGAGTGGTTGGTCGGTGTGAGATGTGCCCATGTAAGTCCCTTTACCCTGACGGCGCCAGAGTGAGCTGTCCGGTGGTAACGTTTGGGGAAACAAAGCGGAAAAGTCCCCCACTTCCCTACTAACACGTACACCAAGGCGCTTGTGATCATTGAAGCTTCCTGGGGAATTGCTGAGCCTGCTTAGAGTTTCCCATCGCGGAACCACTGGCCGAGCAGTCTTCCGAAGGCAGTGTTTGGGAGAGCAAGGCGTGGCCCTACAGGTCTGGAAGATCATACACTTGTATTTGGCCTGTAAGACGCAAACCCTCAGCAAGAGGATGCTTGTTGGGATAGGGTTTCTTAGCACAAGAATTGCGAGAAGCCGAGTTCCCCCTTCACAGCACACAGAGCATCAAATTTACTGAATTGGAGATGTCGCTGATTCCAGTCTTCGCCTCCTCCCCGTCCCCCAGGCGGTAGGGAAGGGCACTGTGGCTAGGATGTCAGTCCCCATCCCTGACCCCTAAGTGTACTCTTGAGCTAGTCTCGTGGTGGCTGGAGGGGGAAGATGACTAGATGTGATTCACCCTCTGGAGGAAATTTTCAAATAAAAAGTGTACTGAGGTTAAAAGTGAGCTCAATTTTAAAAACTCGTTTTTGTTTATCTTGCAACAATGCAAAGATACATACCTTTAAATTTTAAAACTGAGATTAAAATACAATAGTATATTTTATGGTTTTATTTTTTTATTTAAAAGGGTTTCTTAAAAAAATACTTTTATTCATTCATTTCTGGAGAGGAGAAGGTAGGGAGGGAGTGAAACAGCAATGTGCGGCTGCCTCTGGAGCGCCCCCTACTGGGGACCTGACCTGCAACCCAGGCATGTGCCCCAACTGGGAGTCCAACCAGCAACCCTTTGGTTTTCAGGCCGGCACTCAATCCACTGAGCCACACCAGTCAGGCTGTATATTTTATGGTTTTAACATATATGTGGGGGAAAAAAGGTGGTTCACCTCCATTGTGGAAGTGGAGGAGGTGGGGAAGGAAAGGAGAGCACGTCGGGTGCTGGATTGTAGCAGCCTGTCAGCAGCCTGATTGTCCTCTGTTGGAAAAGGAGGAGAAACAGGGAGGCTGTGGGGCAGGGCCTGGCACACAGTTGGCACTTAATGTGAGTTTCGTGGACTGACTGGGACTGGAGGAAGATCTTTGTTTGCTTAAATCTGAGGCGGACTCCATTGATTGCCAACTGGCATTTGGTAAACTTGTTCCTCTTCCAGGCTTTTCTCACTCTTGCTGCTGACTCCTCCCTATCCCCCCGCCCCGCCCATTGATCCCCTCACCTTCTGGGGCCATAGGGTTCCCATTTTCCCAGCAAACCTTCCATTTTTCCTATAGCACTGCTCGGGACATGGTCCCCTTGTGGCCTGCCATAGGAACCTTCAGCGTGACACTCAGGGATTTTCTTGCTCTTTCACGCATATTCCTTTCCCTCCCACGAGCCACGCCCCCAGTTCTTGGTGCATGTAGTGTGGTGGACTTTGGAGTCAGACAAATCTGAGTTTGAATCCCAGCCTTCCAATTAGTGCATTACCTTAGACAAATTATTTCACCCCTCTGGACCTTGGGTTCTTCATCTAGAATATTAAACAGTACCTACTTCAGAAGGTTGTGAGATATCAACTGTTTTGGGTAAAATGCTTAGCGTGGCAGCAAGCACAGAGTAAGCACTGGGCAAATTTTAGTTGTTTTCAGTACTGTTCGCACCTGCCATTCCATCTGCTACCTTCTTGGAATCACGAAGCCCGGTGACTTCACCCTTCAAGGCCCAGCCCCCGTAGCACCCCACCTAAGAACCTCTTTGTGGCCATGCTAGGCTAGAATATGGTCCTCTGTACCCAGTTACAGCTCCTCTGGTGTCTGTGCTGCTTTTCTAGACGTTTCTTAAAATAGAGTTTGGGGTTTTTGGTACCGTGTATGTTGGAGATGCTCAGGGCTTTCAGGGCTTGGGGATAAACAGAAGCAGGAAGAAGTGATCAGAAACACCATTTTATTCTCTACAGAAAGGCCTTCTCTGCTTCTGAAGATGACACCAGAGGCCTGTCCTGTAGGCCTCTGTTGCTGGATGTTTTTGCCTCCCCAGCCCCAGGGGAAGGGAGAGGGGGTGGGAAGAGGAGACCAAGGAAGCCTGTGGTGCCTAGTGAGACTGTAGCTGTGTCCTGAGGTGATGAGATTTCCAAAGAACAGTTTCAAGTGTTTTGACATTTCTCAGAAGGTGCAGCATGTTGGTCAGAGGGGGTTTATTTGTTCCGCAATTCAGGGCAAATATAGACCTCCACCACACCCCGGCCTTCCTCCACGGATGCCACTCGAACAGGGCGTCTGCTTCTGACCTCTTCTTGGTCTCAGCATCTCCGAAGCCTGTATGTCCTCCATAGTCCATTTTTGCTTGATTGTCTCTTCTCCGAGGTAGGATAAGGAACCTGGAGAGGTCCTACCCCTTTGGTGAGTTGGTGGGACAGGAAAGCTTAATGGCCATAAAAGCTCTTTCCAGCTCTGTGTTTCTGGTTGTGCTGACTGAGTACCTTCTGGGAGCTGGGTTGCAGCTCGTGGGCAAAAGGAGGTGGGTCAGAGATGTACGAAGAGAAAATATACAATATAGCTTACTTTTTTGAAAAGATTTTATTTGTTTCTAGAGAGAGGGGAACGGAGGGAGGAAGAAAGGGAGAGAAACATCAATGTGTGGTTGCCTCTGGACCTGGCCCACAACCCAGGCATGTGTCCTGATTGGGAATTGAACCGGCAACCCTTTGGTTTGCAGGCTGGCACTCAATCCACTGAGCCACACCAGCCAGGGCAGTATAACTGACTTTTAATGTTTTCATTCATTCAACATGTACTTACAGAGCGCCTATTTTATGCCATAAGAGCTGAGATACCTTGTTGAATGTTCTCTTTTTTTTAAGTTAAAAATCAATTTATTTATACACCTATATATTAGAAATTATCTAAGTAATAAGTAATGGTAGAAAGTCGATCAAGTAGATTATGGTACAACCATATAATTAATATAATTATTAAAATAGTATTTCAGTTGTTTTTGGCATGTAAAATGCTAATTTGTATGTAAGGAAACAAAATATAGATAAGAGATGTATAATAAGTTTTTTTCAATTACAGTTGACATTCACTATTATGTTAGTTTCATGTGTCCAATGTGGTGGCCAAACATTTACGTAACTTAGGAAGTGATCCCTGTGATAAGTCTAGCACCCCCTGACACCATATGTAGTTATTACAATATCATTTTTTAATTTTTATTTTTAAAAGATTTTATTTATTTATTTGTAGAGGGACGGGAATGGAGGGAGAAAGAGAGGGAGAGAAGTATCGATTGGTTGCCTCTTCTCTGCACCCCAGCCGGGAGCTGGCCCTGCAACCCAGGCGAGTGCCCTGCCCAGGAGCATACCAGCGATCTTGTGCTTTGCAGGATGACGCCCAGTTAACTGAGCCACACCAGTCAGGGCGGGATTATTTTCTTAATTTTTCTTTCTGATAATGTGTATAAAAACACAACCAATTTATGAATATTAAATTTTTATCCTGCTACTTTACTGAACTGATCAGTTTCCCAATTGGTTTTTGGTGGACTTGTTAGGGTTCTCTCTCAATGGTATAATATCATCTGCAAATAATGACAATTTTATTTCTTTGCTTCCTATTTGGATACTCTTACTTCTTTTTCTTGTCTGGTTGCTGTGACTGGGACTCCCAGTACTGTGGGGAATAGAGCGGTGAGAGTGGACGTCCCTATCTCACTCCTGATCTTAAGGAAAATGCTTTTAGCTTTTCACTGCTG